CAAACTGAGGACATGAACCACCAGATTATGTGCGGCCTGTCAGCATCTTCAATGGCCACCGGGCCTATAGAGTCTATAGAGGGTGAGGAAGCCAGTGCATTTCTCCCTGCAAGGTGTCTTTGCTGGAAAGAAAGAGTGGATCATGTGGGACCTGCAGACCGAAGCGTCGAAGATTCCGATGTACCTCGGCCAGAAAGCTAAGCATTGCCTACTTGAAGGGTCCAGGACTTGGTAACTGGGGTTATAATTAAGGTGAGTATACTTCTAACTCCTCATAACCCGAAGAAGGTAGTTATAACCTCACTTACGAAGTCCCATGATCCTCAAAGTAGGGTTTGAGCTCATTCCAGCAGAAAGAGCCGGGCAGCCTTGGAGCAGCGAGGTGGAATGACTACTACCGGCGACCTTCCGAAGGAAAGCCTCGCGGCCCCTCAGCTCGATACAAAGGTCGAGGCACCGATCTGCAGGCCGCTGCTGTTTCCGAGCACTGGGTCTCAAAAGACTGATTGCGGCAGAGAGTTCTTGTTTTGAAAGACGGCAGACTTCGCTTTGATTTCGGCATTGCTCTGCCTAGGTTCGGATGACTCCCCCATCGATGGCGAGCGTCGCCTGTCTTCGGAACTTGTCTGTGAGCCACTGTGTGAATATCGTCTCTCGGAGTTATCATTTTAATTATGGCATTGCGCTCCAGGTTCTCTGTTCGGCTCCGATGGAAACATTAGGCCGTCTCCAGCAAGCCAACCAGATTCGAAGTCTTCATATCTTCTATTAGCAATCACAGCATGAAGGTCGGAATCCTTGCTGGTGCGATCGGTCTGTCGGTGCAGGCATGACGAATGGACGGCATGCAAAACATGAGCGCATGCTAGGGCAACTCCTACGTATCTTGCTCCTGCTCCTGCTGCCACTACTGCTACTACTCATTCTCCCAGTCCTGCTCCTCCTCCTGGTGCTGTTGGAAATAGGACCAAATAGGTGAGAGATCTTGACATGTCAGTAACACCTGGCCTTGCACTGATGGTCGGGGATGACGGTGATGGTCGGCATCATCTTCGAGATAATTGTCTTCAAAGAGCAACAGAAGAACAACAGCCCTCTCCAAGCCGACATTGAGGTGTTGACTTGACCCGCTGGCCCGAGTTTGCGAAAGCGAAGTGGAGCAACACCACCATTGCGTGGACCTCAGTCCTCTTTGTAGTCGAAGGTGCAGGCTTCGAGTTCACATCGGATGTCGCGTTTTCACTGTTGAGCATCGTGGGCTTAGACCGACTTGTTCGACCCTTGGGCCGTGTCCTCCCTGAACTCAAGCCTGAAAGCCAACACCGCGATGAGGAGAAAGGCGATTGTCTCTATACCCCAGCGCATTTGCTGCACTATGTGCGTTCCTGGCCGCTCTGCCTGCAGCCAATTTGCAGCGGCGAGTCTAAGATCTTCCCGAAGAAAATAGGAGAAAGCAATATGTATTAGTGTACGTGTGTGCGCATGCCTCTATAGATAGCCAGAAAGATCGGCGGGTCCGGGGTCCATTCCTTGCACTCGATGCCTTCTGCCCCGACAACATGTTGAAAAACTAACATGCACAAGAGTCTCTACTTAACTACTTGACAGTGATGCCCGCGGTTTGCAAGCGATACAAGCTAGGACAAACGACGGCCCAACAACTGTTGCCAACCAGCCAGAACGAAGGCACCGTTCAGAGCAAAGACCTTGCTGCACTGTTTCAGGCAATGACATGTTCAATCGCAAATCTATAACACTTCTTGTTTGCCACGACTTGTTCTGCAGCTGCTGCCTGCTGTTTTCCGAACACGGTAAGGTGTGACTCGCTCTTGACCGAAGCCCCGTCAGCCAGATACGATAGAAAAGTGGTAAAGCCACTGAGGAGCAATGAAGCCGACGACTACCGCAATATCGCCCTTATGACGATGCTGCTCAGATGCGATGCTGTTACCTCTTGTGTGCTTCTGGAGGCTTGCAAGCTTGGAAGCTCGGGTCGCAGGGCGGAGCTATTGAGAGCTCCATTTGCCTGCCTTTTTAGAGCCTTCGGAGGCTTCCCAAACGACGGAACTCTGAAGGATGCTGAGATGCTTCTCAAGACTCAAGAAGGAATCTGTTTGAACGAGGCCTCAAGTTCTTGCAATTCGTTGTGTCGGAACATCTCAGATTTCCGTGAAGACAGGTGGTCAGCCATCTTTTTGGTCTTGATGGGCATTCCGTACCGGTATACTAAGGTTCCAAACCGAGGAGGCCTTCGATCCTGCGCACTGCTCTGATGTTCCAGACTACGTCTCGTTGAGTGGCTTGGCGTGAAACCTCCTTCGGGGGCATGATGCCAGCAAGCATGCATTCCAGCTGTTGACATCGACGCTCTCAAGGTGAGTACGATGTGATGTGGGGAGAGTTCCCTGGTAGCAAAGCCGTGCCGCGGTGCATGAATCATATTAAGAGCTTCGGCTGCAGTTCAGAAGCTATTCTTGAGTGGCACAGGAGCTAGTTCTTCCGACCTGGTCTAAGCTTTGAGTGCATCCGGTGGCACCTGCCCGTCCATGACACGCCTGTGAGGGCATCGGAAACTCACCGCATCCGACCCGCGAAATGCAAAGTGCATGCAAGACGTGTTCGAATCGTGATCTGAGGATGGGTTATCCGAATTGGCCACTCGTCCGGCTGATTCAAGCGCCAGCAAATGCCAGCAAAGCTTCACCGGTCTCCATATTCCCTGTGCTGCCACGAATAGAACGAATGTAAATCAATGTAAATCCACATTGCTTTTGGCTACAGTTAAACTAGCTTTTGCACGCCGACCTCCTCTTATCGAGGTACTCTGCGCAATCCACGGCTTCGGAAGGGGTGGTTTTACAAACAGCAGCAGCTTCGACATAGCATGCCTGATGATTGCGTTCGGTTCATCGAATGACATTGCATCGTTGAACGGCCGGTCGTCGTGCCATGGTGGGCCAATGTGTTTCAAAACGTGCTAAAGTTCAAGCAGTAGTGTAGGACCGGAAAGGAGAAGGCAACCCAACATGTCAGCCACAGACCGTGCTCAAGAAAACGTGTAAGATTGTCAGGCTCCTGGGTGACTGTTGAAACATCGTGCACAAATCCAGGGCTTCAGGGCCTGATGGAAGGTACGGGATCTTGGAGTCCCCTTCTTACCTGACACCCTATAGATACCTTAACGGAACCCTAATGTCTGTTTGCAGGAAGCGACTCCTCCAGCAGCTTGCAAAGACTGAGCGCGGCGGCTGCCTCAACGAAAGGGGCCAACCTGGGGGAACCAATAGGAGGTGGTCTCGTCTTGGGCCGCTGTTGCTAGAATGTCATGAACGAGCTTTCAACATCTTGACAGTGCGCTATAAGGATCATCAAGGTTTCAAGGGCATGGCTTCAGGGCCAGGCGGAAGATGTTCTGTGTTCGTCCAGGGGCGCACACTGCTCTCAGCCCCAGCCTGCTGAGACGAAACATCGTTCATCAAGTACTGGAGATCTCGCGACAAGTATCCCCAGAAACAGATCAAGGCGCGGCAGATCTCTGGAGTCCCTGGATGGCGGCTGATTTCGATTTTAGTATGGAGGTAATGGTCCCCTGATATCAATATCGCCCTGCGAGCCAATCACCCTTTCTGTGGATTGGAGTCCTGGTTTAAGGTAATTGCAAGATCATGTGATGCTGCACACAGAAGACATAAGCTGCAACATTGCATCGATGCGGAATATCTATGCCTGCGCAGCATCAGACATCATCCGCCAAGCAAGTTCATGTTCGATATCCGAAGATACCGTAACTGTCGTCCGGATGACTCTACAAGGCTTGGACAGAAGTTGTGGGACATATCCAGCTATCCTTACTTGATGAGAACTGATGAAAGATGGGCTTAGTTCTACTCTTTGTATATAGGCTTTATGCATTTCTCAGCAGGCAGTGCAGGATCTTCTCGGATAGCAAGTGGTCAAAGACCATCCACGGAAGTACCGCTAAGCTCTACACGGCGGGTAGACGAAGGCGGTTACAGCAGCGTGTTTGCGTGAGTGTTTGTCTCTGTCGTTTTTTTGCGTTAGAGCTGGAGCAAGATTAGCCAATCAGGGGCCGATTCGCCTTGTGTCTGGGAACGACTCAAGGCTGAATTGCGACGGCTTGCGCTATCCTGCTGTGTACTTCAGTGCTTGTTGTTAGGCTCGCCCACCAGTCGGATCACAGGGGCATTGTCGCTGCGGTTTGTTCGCGTTCGTCGGACGTCGTGTTCTCTACAAGTGCCTTCTCCTTTGGTCTTCCGACACTCACCTTTTGGTTTCTTGCGTGCTGCTTGGCATCGGTGCCTTGCCGTCGGTGTTTCAATCTTGAACTTTGGTTTGGGATTCAGTTGTCTCTGCGAGAGGAACATGCATCTTTGGCATATTGTAGCATGATGCTAGTAGTCACATCAATACTACTACAGGAGCATTGGAACAAGGCGGCCCCCAAAACAAAAAAGCAGAAGCTGAAGCCACTCCCTGGCGAGGCAGCCTGGAAGCGCTTCATGTCCGAGGAGCTCGAAGGAACCTGGGCTGAGAAGGCTACGGCCCTCTTGGGACATCCTCTCTGCTGCTCATTGGGGGGATGGTTCCCAAATATGGCCTTAATCAGGGTGATTGTCGTCATGAGCCTTCTTGGTCGATTTAGTGACTTGAAGGGAGCCCAGCTTTCGAGCATGTCTGGGAGAGCGGTACCGACAAAGATCCACATCCTGAGCCATCCTGATCGTTATGTGGTACCCAGGTTTTCATGCCTGGCTCCCTTGTTCATAGATGGACCAGCATTCATCAGTCAGAATTGCAACCAAGTCTTCAAACATCCGAGATGTCAAGGCTGCTGTCGTCTTCACTGGTACGGAGCTTTCACTTCGCGCAACTCACGGTGCAGAAGCCGGAATCATGTAAGGAGTCGAAGCAAAGACCGCCCAATCGTTCTATTCTTGACAAGAAAAAAGTTTTGTTGTTAAAGGATGAACGTTTTCGTTTCCACTGTTACCTGACCGCCAAAGACTGCAAAGATGTGCCGTGACAATTCTCGAATTCACTTCTCGCCGTGGCAGGTCTTCAATAGCACGTCGCTGGCACAACTGGCGAAGGCAGCACCAGAGGGTGCGGCACAACTACGTTGCGGGTTTGGAGTCCTGCCAGCGTGGGCTTCAGTCTTTAGACTCCAAATCTTGGGCGCCCATGCTTGAAGTTGTGTGCCAGGACCTGAGCTGTGCCATGGAGGGACTTGAGGGACCTGAGCGCAAGCTCCGGGATGGCAGCTGGACTGCAACAGCACCAAGCCGACCAAGCCATGAGGACCACGACGCTGCATCCCGCCCTGGCCCGTAGTATGCTAGATACACTCTGTTGTGTGCACGCGGCATGAGGTCCGGATCAACAGACATCACAGACACTGCCATGGAAACTGTTCCGCATGTGCAAGTGGCCCTTCCAGGTGAGTCCTGGGATGCGCGGAACGAATACTCCCTGGCTGGCAGTACAAAGGGCCTCACGGCACCGACTTGGAAGGTGGATTGTGTGCCATGCAAACGAGAGCTGCCAACATCATTGCGGCGGCAACATCTTCGTACGTATGAACCATGTACTTCGGGTCATGGCGGGATTTCTTCGGACTACCCCCGACCGAGGCAGGGAATAGTTGCTGCAGACGCCATAGATGCAGACACACAAACACACACGGACACACACACACACACACACACACACACACACACACACACACGCACGCACACACACACACACATGTGAGCATGAGCATGAGAGCATCGTGCGTGCAGACATTCATACATGCCAGCATGCATGCATGCGGACACGCGCGTACATGCATACATAACGGCATAGAATCATATATGAATATAATACATGTACATACATGTGTATTCGTGTGTGTACACATTCATGCATACACAACCGATACAGGCACAGATATGCAGCATATTTTTACATATAGATGTATAAAGTTATGTACTTATTTGTATGTACATCTTATGCATGTATGCGTGTAGTTATGCACATGCATAGATGGATTGATGGATTGATGGATGGATGGGCGAAAACCGAACAGATACCCGACTATGTATCAAGAGAGCCATGAACATCCTGTCTCTACGATTCGGTACAGGTTGCCGACGACGGATGAACCGCGTTTAGCAGTTGCAGACAAAAGAACAAGCCATGGGCAAGGTTGAGAGACAGAGAGAGCCAACTGCTTACTGAAGTTCCCTCTACAGTACCGGTATGGAATATTCTGCGATTTCTGAATATTTGAAAAGCAGGGCGACCCCTCCTCTCAACCTGCAGAAAAAAGGAACCACCTCAGACAACGACAAGCAGATGAGAGCTGAGCAGACAGCAGGGTAAGGAGACCGAGAGTACGTCCTCGAATGACCAGACGCAGAACGCTCGGTGGACTTGTCGCAATAAACTGGAACATGCTACTTGTGAGCGAGGTTCATGCAAATCAGAAGCCGCACACGTCTCGAACAAGCTAACTTCTTGCAAACTGCACGTGCCCAGTCAGGGCGATGCGAGTGGCGAGTGGTATACACTCCCGCCCCAACCGATTGTCTAGCTAAGAAGCTGTGTGCTGCAGTTCTCCTCCTTCCCACCGAGGCTACACAGATGAAAGGCATCAAGATTTGTAAGAATTGTAGAAGCAAAACATGTTGTTTTGCAAAACAGGTCCTGTTTGAGGGCTATTCCCGGCACAAGACCCAAAGAGCGGCGCTGCTCTTCTGTTCCAAAAAGCTTGCACTGCTTGTCGCCACAATTTGCCTGCCCGAGTTCCTAGATATACATGCCGCTGATTTCATACTCGGGAGGTCACTTAGAGGTTGGTCTGGAGTGACAGATTCCCCTTTTCATGGTGATCCCCCCTCAACCGCAAGGCCGCAAAGATAACATTCTGCGATCTTCTTAGACATTCTGCCGCCCAATATAAGCCAAAAGCGAAGCTTCTGCAATAGCTTCTTCTCACCAAGTCCAAAACCATAGGCACCTGATCTAGGCCCTGATCGACCAAGGACCCGTCAACCTCCAAACCTGAACCCAAAGCCCGTCACATCCCCAAGGATCCCAATTTCCCGAGCCCCAAGCCCATGCACACAGCCACTGAACCCGCCTCCGCTCCGCAGCCACCTCGCTGCGACACGAAGTTCCATGCCACGGGCAAGCAGTGCCTGGCTCGCTTGACGTTTTGGGCGCTCCAGGTTTCCGGGATGTTTAGGGCTAGGGTTTTGGGGGCTTCGATGGACCTTTCCGGGTGGTTCAGGAAGTTTGGTTTTCGTGGCTTTCGGCCTCCCTAAGCCCAGCCCAAGTCCAGAATCCGTAGTGTCGTCCGGAGGCCCCGAGACTCTTCATACAAACTCTGAAAGATCCCGCTTCGTGGATTTGCAGCAAGAGCAGTGAAAGTGCTTACGATCACACAACTCAAGTTAAGTTAACCTGCAAGTAATTTGTACTGACAACATTAGCCCCGGCCTTGCATGATTATAAACCCGTTGCCTCCACTGCCAGGCATTAGCTGCGCAAACTTCGAAGCAACTCAGCGCAGGCTAAAATCAACTTGAGCCGGAGCGGGGTGCACATGATGTCCTGTCAAAGTCAATGAAATCGCCGTTCGACAATAGTTATGCTTGGCTCCTTGTCATACCAAAACGTTTTTGGCGTAGGCATCTGCAGAGTAATTACTGTTTGCCTTGTCTTCGGTGTATGCTGAAACTTGCAGTGTAATTTTGATTTAGCTTTTGGTGGAGGTGATCAGCCGAGACAGGAGTCGAAGTTGAGAAATGCACACTCTTAGTGTTCGAGCAAGTGCAACTTTCTCCACCGGACTTGCCACTAGTTGTTCTGGTACGGAAAGAGAACTAGCAGGAACAAGATCGGACGGGAAGCATGGTGCTCACTTTGCAAAGGGTTCATATGCCTGCACTGTAAACGTCGCAAGGTTGTGGTTGAGGGCGTACAACAATTCCCGAAACAAGTGAACCGCCACAGTTGGCACCACCACGACCCCCGACACCACTACCACCTTCACACGGCAACAACAGCAGAAGCAATAAAGGCTGAACCATCAGCAGCAGCAGCAGCAGCAGCAAAAAGGACGACGACAGCAACGACAACAGAGAGGACGATGGCGAGAAAGACCGTCGACCGTGCCTACCATCAACTGCAGCTACAACAGCATAAGACTTGCTTCAAGACGTCGGGGTGCGAATCTATGCACATGTGCACGTGCGTGTCTTAAACCTAAGGTTTCGGAACTAGCACAGTCATTTCCTGCTCCGGCAACGAAAGAACGCCACAGGGGACGAGGCATGCTGTTTAAAGGCATGCCCCGCGTCGGTGCTGAAAAGGCGAGGTTAAGAAAAATAAAGGGCACCAAGATCAGTAGCGAATGTGTTGAGAGTGACGGTGAGTATGGCTGCAGTAATGGTAACGATGCCCTGGATGAAGAAGATGATGATGACAATGATGGCGATGATGGTGATGATGATGACGCTGCTGAAGGTCAGGATCTCGATCATGGATGTGCTCAGTCTTGTGCTGGCGATGATGACGAGACGACATCGAGACTAGTAGCATGAACATTTGCACATACCAAATTCCGTAAAACTTGGCCCGTGGCAAACATATTCGTGAAATCCGGCGGCATCTATTCATGCAACTACCATGGATTGTATGTCGTCATGACAAACTGTGTTGGTCATTGGGTGGATGTTTCTTACCGTACCAACTTTCGAGGCCGCCAGTAAAGGCCAAGACTCTACTCAAATCTTGCTTCCGGTTCTTGTCTCCATGATGGGTGGGCTGGTAACGCTCGACAGCACCAACGACATGCATGCCGAAGTGTATAGTCTGTGCCTCCGGCACTACTCGTGCTTTGCGCTCCGTACAGCTAGGATGATCTCTTTGGCGCTGTTCTGAGAACTGATTTCAGTTGGATCAGGGGCCAGGGGGCCGGAATCCCGAATCCTGTCAGGAAATGCTCTCTTGCCCCAGATCCATCTGCACGCGTTCTATCGGCCACATCTCGGGCACAGCTCGAGAACGGGCTCTCCCTGAATTCCCTGGGACTGCCCAGGGATTCACACGGGGTCAGCCATTGAGTGTCGCAGCCATGAGTACTTCCATAAGATGGGCACCGGCACTGTGCATATCGGTTCCAGGAACATCAGATGTGAGGCCGCAAGCTTGCTGCACTCGCAGAACATTGACTGACAGAGAGCACTCTTCAATTTCAGCAGACAGCTATACTATGTCGAACTCACATTGATGGGTATTGTGCCAACAAACCATTGTCTACGCATGTGTGTACATTTCTGCCCCTACTTGAGTCTTTAGTCATTCGTCTCCAGAATTTGAGGCCTCTGCGAGCAATGATGGTAAGGGTCAAAATAGCTCGAAGCAAATGACTACCAGCGCAAATCGTCACGACAGCGATCGGATCGAGGCCTTCCCAGTTAAACAGTAAAATTCCTGCAGGATGGCTGCTATTGTGGAGGCTGTTCTTGTAGCTAATGTGCATGGCTTGGTGCTGTAGTGGTGATGCTAGCAATAAGACCTCAGAGTCCATCCTCAACGTGCCTCCCCAGTCTTGTGTGAAGCGTTGGTCAGTTTTAGCCAGCTGCCTGGCATGCTTTTGTGGCACGCAGAAGGCGCCAGCTTCTAGAGCAAAAACAGCCTTGGTTGAGAAGAGTTGTTGGTGACGGTGGTGGTGGTCGTGGCAGTGCTCGTGATATTCTCAGTGGAATCAGGCTCGTCGTCGTCGTTGTGGTAGTAGTGGTGGTAGTTATCGTCGCCGCGGTAGTCGTCGCGATAGTGGTAGTGGTAGTGGTAGTGGTAGTGGTAGTGGTAGTGGCAGTGGTAGTGGTAGTGGTAGTGGTAGTGGTAGTGGTAGTGATAGTTGTTGTTGTTGTTGTTGTTCTTGTTGTGGTTGTTGTGGTTGTTGTTGTTGTCGTAGTAGTACTAGCAGGAGGTGGAGTAGTCGGTGCAGCAGCAGCAGCATGAAACCGTATCGTGGCTGCTAATGTTGCTACGAATACCATTACTATTCCCAACATGGTTATGGTTATGGTCCTGGTTACTTATACTGCTAATGCTGCTGCTGCTGCTGCTGCTGCTGCTGCTGCTGCTGCTGCTGTAAGCCTGGCGCACAGACAAGCACTACCACCACCGCCACCACCAGAACGTGATGACAGACTACGACGACTGCCACCACAACTGGGTTGGTTCCTACTGCTAGTTGCTGTCTTTGAATGCAAGTAGCCAATCGCTCCAGCATGCCCTAACCATGTACTGCCTTGTTACTGAGCGTGTGAATGGTATTTTCGACTTTTCTCTGCGCACTTGTCTCAAGTCTAGGAGCCTGCTTTTGGACAGCAGCTGAATTTCAAGACTTGCAACATCTCGCACACAAGAACTTCTATCTCTTTCTCACAAGTGTAGGATGATCCAGTAGCTTTTCACAAGTTACAAGTCTTTTCAGGTCCGTGCCACATCTCCCATCGCATTTTGCTCCCTCCACAGCCATGGCAGGGCGTTGGGCACGGCTTCTAACCTCGCGCCCAAGCTTTCACAGCGGGTTTCGCTTGTTGAGCATGGCAAGCCCCAACCATTCCGGGATTCACAGTGATTCTGCATTGAGCTGTCGTCTCCGAAAGGCTCGTGATACAAAGGACCTGCGTAGCAAGTTCAGAAGGTGTGCTTGCCTAGTGCTCCTCATTGGCTGCAGCTGGAGTGCAAACCTTCCAACCGGCAGATTTAATGAGGGTTAGGGACGGCGCAGGCAAGCCTAGAGCGTCCAACCTAAAGAAATGTCACATTCCCAAGAGACACAGAAACCGACCGACATCATGTGCTTCTGTACCCGAAGCTGAAGGCTATGGTCTCGCAAACTGCGACAAAAATCTCAGGGAATTGTTCCCTCGATTTACGGCCAGCCTCCCCAAGCTCCAAGACCCAAGAGTCGCTGCATCAGTGAGCCCCAGCTCAGGCTAGCCGTGTGCGTTGCCGACGTGGTAGCAAGGTGTCCTGCTGTGACTTTCGGAATGCTGCAGGTGTTGGGTTTCAGGCCGTGGGGCTTGGTTCCACCGATTCTACCGGCTACAGGGTAAAGAAGGTCAGAGCAAGCCTAATTGCAAAGGATGCCTAGTCTGTCGAAAACAAGGGTGAATCCTCGAAGCCGTAAATTGCAGACATGACATCCAGGCGCCCTGTGGTGGGGATCGTCGCCTCGCCACTAAAACTGCCAGGGGCCACCACCTTCAACGGTCTGAGATGCTTGTCTGCAAGAGCGATTTCGGATTTCATTTTCTGAAGCCCGGCTGAATGATGGGAGATGTGCGGGATTGTAGGACAAGACACCCTGTGTCTTCAGACAAAGTTCAATAGAATTTGGCTCAGACTAGAGCTTCGATAGATGGGAAAGGTCTTGTTTCGCGGTCCTTAACAAACACTCGCGGTGGTGATTTGCGCAGAACTGACGATACTCAGACTGTTAAGCCGCATTCCTGACAAGCCGAGGCTGGATCTGGAACACCTACGTGGAAAGTCTCCACGATGCTGGTGCCGAGGCGATGCAAGCCTCACAAGCGTAAATCGCGACCATCATGGCATAAACTGCCAAGACATTTTCGACAACGACATGTCGATCCGTGCGGCTAGCTTGGAGTACTACAAGTTTGGTGTTGGATCAGATGTGAGGTGAAGCACCCTTCACCTCTCACTTTCGGAGCACGACTCTCTCCCTCCCCAAAAGCAGGTGGTCCCGCTGGTACCCCACAGCGGGCCGGAGGAGCTGAAAGAGGCTTTGGAGCAGGCTGGAGGGGGTGGAGGGTAGAGACTGGATACCATCAGCTGTGAATCACGAGAGTTCCGAGAGCAACTGTGCTTGTCTACCCGATACGCGTTATACATCCCAAACCCTTAACTTAAGGGTTTCTTAGTCACTATCTGTTTTTGCATGTGTCTGTCGTTAGCTCGTGTCCTTGTGTTTTCTTTTACATCTGCAAATATCATCCTAGCTTTGTGATGCCAGGCCTGTGGATCTGTCCTGCTCCCATGGTTTAGTCTGCAGACCCCGCTGGCAGTCATCACCTGGCTTGATGCGTACCCCAAGGCCCCAAGGATCCACGTCAAACAAACAACGATTACGTAATGATTTATGTTATCGACATTTAGCTTGAAAAGCCCCTTAGATGTACAGCATTGTGGCAGTTTGCTGCAGCAGTTGTGACGAGCCCCACACGTGTGGCCCCGTTCAGGTAGATGCGGTCCTTTGGACAGGCAGTGGTTTACTGCACTTCCCTTGGCTCGGCTTTGAGTTGTTGTTGGCAGAACAGGTTTGCTGTCAAGCATGGTTCGGCCTCCCATCCGGTAACAAACAGGAGGAAATTACACTTGCTTCGGGGGGGGATGTGGTTGTCTTCGGCGATGCTGACTCGAAGCATCTGGGTCAGTCACAAGCCCAAAAAAACTTGTGAGTTGCAGGCACGATAGCTAGCAAATGCTCACAGAACCTTTGCATCCCTAGAAGACTCGAAGGGCAAGTCTACGGTTCACGACTGCAAGCAGCCGGTCAAACCTTCCCGCGCCTGTAGGAGCAGAGGCCGGCATGAAATCGGAAAGCCCGAGTAAAAGCTCCGCAGGTGGCGAGGACTGCGCTCTTCGATGCTCAGGGGCCAAGCACCTTCGGATGTAAAGTCTTGTGGGGTTGGAGGTGCAGCGCAAATCAAAACATCATGCCTCTTCCGGCACATCCCGAATCGGTGACAGAGAGGACGATCCGGGAGTTCACGGTGCAACATACCCGGATGTCATGATGGACACCCTCAAGGCAAGACCATGCATCAGTCTGACAAGGTTGTAGCCGCCAGTCCATGTAGGCAGTGTTTGTTTGCCCTGGGTCTTGGTTGCTGTTGCGTTTCACACGAATGGCAAGGTTGCGTCAGCGCCTGGGTCAGGTTCAACGAACTGCTTCACTGGATTCAACACTCCGCATCAGGTCTAGACGGTCCAAAACCTGCCACCAACTCATGAAACAACAGAAGCAAGGGTTGTACGGCCATGCCATAGAGACACCCCTAAACCCTAAACCCTAAACCCTAAACCTTAAACCCTAAACCAGGTAGTCTCAGCAGAGCATCCGATGCTCACTCTGCAGGTGATTTACGAGCACGTCAAGGCCAAGGGCACCGTGCCACTCTGGGCCACGTGCCAGGGCTTCCAGGCAGAGAAGACGCCAAAAAAAAGCTGATATCCTTTATATATAATAGCTATATTAGGGGTATATACCTATGGGTCCTACGAGATTCTACAAAGCTTGGATTTGGGCGGAGGGCTTTGGGTGTGGGCGCAGACTGTGGGTGAAATTGAGGAGCGTAGACTTTGCAGAGAGTTCGAGAGGCCCAGGCAGCTTAATTGCAAAGACTTTGGGAATCCATCTGGCCCGCGTCAGATGAGGACTCGTCTGTTGCAAAAGCAAAGTCGTGTTCGAAAAGCTCCCCAAAGAGCAGCGGCAACCATGGCCAGCGGCAGGCTCTCTGCGTTCTCGCAGCAGATGAACTTCGGCTGCATGACACGGCCTTGCAAAAGTCTCCAAGTCAGCTTGGGGGTTCCACCTGCTGCTCGCGGATCACCTTGTGCATTTCTTGTACGACATTCCGCGGATTGCTTTACTTGAGGCATGTGAAAACCCTGCCTTTCAGGCGATCCCGGGAAAAGCAGTTGGGGAGGTGGCATGTCTTGGGCTCTTATGACTTATTGCCACTCTGAAAAAATCGCCCTGCAATCTCATTGCAAGGCGAAGTGGAGCATATGGTGATCAAACAGAGTCAATAGAACATCCGGCAAGTAACTAGATGAGTTTGCAGCTGCTGCAGGAAAACAGAATTAAGGCAAAAGCATGTTTTTCTACGGATCTCTGGCGGTCTGGCCCTCGACAGTTGAACTCCAGCGCCCTTGAGGACCCCGAGGTCGTTGTCCCCACCTATGGAACGCTTGGAACTGCGGTGTCTCTGCAACGCGGCAGGTATTAGATTTTCTCGGGCTGATTCGAGAAACTACTACAGCCATACCAGGACTTTCATGGATGCAACCCTCAGTTACACCCTGGCGTGCAAGCTCTCAAGCAGCAACTGGCTACAGTGCCCCTTGCAGGACTTCAGGCTAGAGCTCAGGGGCTAGCGGCTAGATGCTATTTCAAGTTGGGGGTTGTGATATCCTGGAGAAAGCAGCTTCGGGTGGACGCCAGAGGCTTTTGCAGGGCCGTGTAGTGGTACCAACACCAGTCAGAGTAGGAGTGGGAGTAGGGCTAGGAGTAGTAAAGTAGTAGTAGTCGTCGTCGTCGTGGTCGTGGTCGTGGTCGTGGTCGTGGTGGTGGTGGTGGTCGTCGTGGTGGTGGTGGTGGTGGTAGTAGTGGTACTGGTAGTGGTGCAGCAGTATCAGTAGCAGCCGTAACAGCCGCAGCAGCAGCAGCAGCAATAATAGTCGTCGTGTGGCAGTAGGCGGCGTAGCAGCAGTAGCAGTACCAGTAGCAGCAGTAAGAGCAACAGTACCAGCAGTAGTGCAGCAGCGGAGGAGCACCATGTTCAATTGGAACTTGTATCAACCCTGACAATGGCGACAGTTCCTGCAAAGGCACTTCACCACTGCAGCGAACTCCTCGCGCCTCCTTCGTGATGCGCCTCCAGAGGCGCAAAAAATGGAAGTTAAATTCAACAGCATCGCAGATCTTCGGGACACTGCTTGACAGCGACTGATGCTGTTCTCGATCATTCTTCCTCGTTGCGATTGCTGCTTATTTTCGCTCTCACCACTATTAAATCGTACTACTGCAGTTGTATGTTGCTGCTAGCTCTATTCATGATGTTGCGTCATCGCTGTGGCTCTTGTTTCATCTTGGTGGAATTCTTGCTGGTATTAGTATTGCTGGTGGCATTCGGCACCTTGCACCGCAAGTGATCTGCGTTCCCCCATCCGCCAAGGCTTTCAAGGCCGATCCAATGCCGCACTATTAGTGCCACTTGCTATTACTAAATGCATCCTCCTCGCTGCTGCTGCTCCCAGCGGTGCCGGCGAAGAACGCAACAACGAAGAGGGCAAAGATGGAGAAGAAAGCTGACAACGAGGATGACGGTCAGTAACACGGATGAGAACGAGAAAGGTAATCATGAGGAGTATGAAGAAAAAAGGATTATATAGGAGAGTGGTAGTAATCATGAAGAGAACAGTAACAGATGTGTGTGACGATGACGGCGCTGACGACGACCATGACGATAATGATGTCCATGGTGGTGATGCTTTTGCTGGCAATCACACCATCTGATGACGGCTCTGAGCAGACCCAGACAGAAAGAGACTGAGAGTGATAGTGATGAACGGCCATGATGTTGAGGCCGCTTTGGGATTTTCTGATTATGATACTGATGATAGTAGTGTTGATGATGGTGGTAGTTTTGTTTTCTTGGTGAGTTCTATGTCCGTGGGATGCGTGCACAAGAGCTCAGGGCTTAGGGGTGAGAATGATGGTCAAGCTGATGGTGAGGGTGACGACGATGAGGACATACTGATTGATGGCTGGGCGAAGATTGCGACGATATCGGCGACGACAACTGCGACAAGGGTTTCGTTTCTCGTCATGTCTGCTGTCGGTAATGATAACATCGAGAACCACTTTCTTGTCGTGCTTTCGGGCGGAAGCCACAGCACTGTCGTCGTGGTGATTTGTGCTGTCGTGTCGAGTCTTCCCAACAGACAAAGACTGTAAGACGCAGGTCTTCTTGGAGCTGGGGCGCCGAATCTTGGCAAGTGCTTGTCGCCGCGTGCCAGTTTCCAGCGGCTCTGTCGGCTTTCGTTGGGGGGTTCAGTTGAGAACCCTAACAGTCAGCCAATGATCGAGTGAAGTCTGAGGAAACTCGACACTGAACTTCCATTCCTACGGCGTCCTGGCGCAGAGCTTCCACCAGGCATGTGCGCGAAGATTCCTTCTAACTTGCAGCGGAAAGGTCGGTAGTCCAGTCTGTGTTGGGATGGGAATAGACGATATCAGGTCCAGCAAGTGAAGCCCTGTGCCAGTAGGTCAGACGGTCAAACACAGGGACGCTGCATGGTTTTCTCCCTCACTCATCGATTGTCCGGCCTGATGGCAAAGCATCGCGATCAGCAGTGCGGTTCGGCAAAGCCTTTATTTGGTCACAGTTGAAAGTACGCTGGATCCCCTGAATGACCCTGCTCAGATTTCTCATGCAGGCAAAAGTTCCAAATTTCCAGCTCCTCGCGACTGACACGGACACCCGGGGGCAGGCGGGCTGATCTGGGCAGTGGCAACTTCATTCGGCCTTGGAAAGAGGTATTTTTCGAGCCGAGGTAGCAGGTAACCATCGTGTGTGTCTTCCGACCATGCGAAGGCCCAAACTGTTCCTGAAATCCTAGTCCTCGCTGATAGCTCATCCTCGAAGCGACCAGAAACGCAAGATGACAAGGCGGCTTTCGGTCACATGGAACTTGGTGTCGCCAGGTCTTTGCTTCGCTGATGGAGCACAATGAGCTGCCAATGTTTGCGTCACAATTTCATCCAGCTCCTTGGTTTCAGAAGGCATGGAAGGCACCTCCTCATCGAGATTCTGGAGTACACGCCCTGTTCATTCACTCGAGTATCGTGTTGTGGCTTTGAGTGCTCACAACCTGATGGTTAGCAAGGTTTCTAGGATCGACTGGCGTTGCAAAAACTGAGTGCCTGTAATCGCCGTTGAAAGTTGCATAGAGATGCTCCATCCGGCTCCGGCAGTTGAAAGACTTGGCTGCAAGATTGTGTATCTCTGTCCTACTGTCACTGTAGCTGTGCACAGGAACTCTACTACTTCTTGGATCCCGATAGCGCTGCACAAAATCCGGCTGTCCGACATGCTGTGGAAGCCAACCGCTACTTCATGCACTTCTTTGTGAAGGAGCTCCAACAAGTCGAAGTCCAGCCTGGTCAATGCACACGACGTACAAGATTGCTATTGCTTTTCTGAGCCTGCAGGAAGCAGCGAAGAATGCTGCAGCTGTTCACGCCGACTCGGCAACACCGTTGAGCCTCGTCCGCATCACAGCTCGACTACAGGGATGACTTTGCAGAACTGTGGTGTTTGGGTTTAGACCACAGCGCCCCAGAAGGGATCCTGCGCATCGCTTGAACGCAGTGCGTGTGCTGCTTGTAAGATTGTGCAAGGACCGTGTAGAAAGATGTCCTGCAGTCAGCCAAATTTTTCTGGCGAGCTCGAAGAGAGACGTGCTGCGAAGATTCGACATAGCCTCGCTCTTGACGAGATGTTTCACGGAAAATCTAAGTGCATTTGCACAGGCGAATTGGCGAATACCCCATGAGCTTCCCTCCGCTGGGCATCTTCGGAAGTGCCACCTGGCTGCAGATGGCGACTTTAGTCGCGACACAGCGACCACGACACACTGCCCTCGGCACATCAAGGGCATTCCAGTGGAGTCGATTTCGGATCGTTTCTGGAGCGTTCAGTGTATTTCCTGTGGTTTGAGTTCTATCTGTCAACCCAAGCTTGAGGCACGTGATGTCAACCCTTTGTCGCTTCATGTTTCAGCCCTAGCGCAAAGCCAACGAAGCACGAGGTCACGAGGACCTGTGTGAGACCCTGCTCTTGTGCTTGAGCTTGCAAAGTGTTGGATCTTGCATCGAAGATGAAATGGGTCGGAGCGGCATACCGTCATGGGTCAACTCATTGCCCAGTCCGGCGGCGAGCTCTTCCCGGGAAAGATCCTGCGCGGACATGTCTGGAACTACAGCAGGCGCATGTGTCTGAGCAACCATCAAGCTTGCTAGCCACAGCATGAGCAATACGCTTCCTACAGCTCCAAGCTGCCAAGCATGAGACATTCAGACAGCTCTTTGGGATAACAATAGCCTTTGTTCCGAACGGCCAGTGCCCTATTTTCAGACAAACAGGTACATCTACAGTAGCAGAGGCTGGCCCAGCTTCACTTTAAAATAAGAGGGTTCTGCATGAAGATGCAGCAGGTATCCTCGATGTCTCCTTCAGGACAGAAACCTACAATGTATTTAAAGCATGACTAATCGGTTGTATTGTACTGTAGTACGTCGTATTCTATTGCAATACATTACATTACATCACATTGGACTGCACACTACTACACAAAATCTGTTTTACTATGCTACAATACGTAGTGAATAATGTAATGATACAAACTCCTTTGCTATACTGTCCGATGTATGCTTATAGTTCATTGCATTGTAGAATGTGATATTATGTTGTGTGGCTGCCATAGCATTGCATAGTAATGTTTATACACATATATGTACACATATGTGCATGTACATAGCATATGTACTAAATATGTACGTGTTAATACGTGTGTATATATATATGTGTATATATATATATATATATATATACATGTACGCGTACGTCTGTATTTACATGTTGACCGTTTACAAACGTAATTGTTTCCAGATGTCTGCCCGAAAGGCCGATGACGGCCGAGGAGCTGAGTTTGCTCGCAGCTTCGCTGCGGAGAAGCAAAGGAAGCGGCCTCCTGGGCCCACTAGGCCTGGAGCTTGTACCCCGTACATACGTAATGTTGTACTGTTTGATGTATTGTGCTGAACCTACCCATGCATGGACATACTACCATAGTGAAACGTTCATATATGAGCATGTCAAGATATCAGTATACTGCATGTTAAAGCACTAATATGAGTACATGGCTATATGGGCGTATTATACATTATATATGCATGTGTGTTTATATGGATTATATGCACGCATGACTGTTTGAACACATGAGTGCATGAACATATGAATACATGAAAGCATGAGAACACACCTGAACGTATTAGCACATGGGGAGATGAACAGCAGTAAAGACAAGCACGTTAACAATCAAATGTATTCGCATAGTACTTTGGTATTGTATTTTCATACGAATCTGATAACGAGCTCATACATATTTGTATCGAAATATGTATAGAAAATTTGAATACATGTATGTCTGTATGTATGTATATATCTATATATGTAATCACATCTTATGCTGTAGTATCTCATATGGCCATATGGTGTTATATTCGGTTACAGTATCTAAGATTATGCTGTAATATGACATATTATCGTATAGTATAGTGCAGTATGGTACCACAGCTTAGGTTATACCTTGCCGCGGTTTATTATGATACATTACCTACATTGCCTCATATTCTATTTGGCACCCGGGACACTCGGAGTGGCGTCGAGACGGTGGCTACCCAGCGACCCTTGTAAGATCATTTTCGTGAAGGAGCAGCTTTGTCCTAGCTTCGTGCTTGACGTGTTGGCTAGCAGCTGGTCGCATCTCAATCAAGATGCTTAGAGGACATGACAGTGCTCCCGTCTGCGTAACGCAGGGATTTCCAAGATCCCAATCTGGCACCAGGCCCCATAGAAGGCCCGTGGGTGGCCCGGGCAGCGGCCCTTCGGCAGCATTAGTGGAGAAGGAATTCAGAGATGCAGCCGTCGGTCGTGCGCACTTCATGCCCACTCCTCAAAGAAAGACAAAAGACATGGATGCCCTATGATGCCCTCATAGCACAGCAGTCGCAGTCGCGTGCAAACATGAGACCAAGAAGCTGGCAGAAGAATTGGCTGATAGATGCAACAAGATTTGGCACCAGAAATCCGACCCGACCAGTCCAACAGCCGCAAGCACAGGTGGTCACTGCAGCTTTGCTAACTGCTGGCATGCTATCTGCCTGGCTCCGGCGATCAAAGGTCGAGGGCGAAGGCGGGACTCAGCTTGACTGCTCCTTTCGTCAAGCTCTTTATTTGTAGCGGTTGCAGTGTAGCACTGGCATATTCGGCCCGGGACCCGACCAAATCTAGCAATGCGAAGCCTAGACCAGTTATTGGAAGATCGGCGAAAGACTTCATGAGTTGCTGGTAACTGCTGGTAGGCCTCCGCGTAGCTTCCGAGTCCGGGCTTCACCAGGTTGTGCCTCTGCACGATCTCCGCTCCTCGGCGACGGCCCAGTTCTGCCCGCCTAAGTGGAGGGCCAAAGTGTCTTAGGGGCTCACGCCAGAGCGCTTCTATTTCAATTGTCACTTCAATCCCAACAGCTTTTGCAACTTACTTGTCTGTGATGTGACGGGATCTGTGACACCAGTGGTAGTAGTCCAGTCTAGTAGTAGCCGGTTCCTTCTAGGCACCGTGGGGTGCTAGGACGCCTTGCCCACGAGCGCCGCAGAGCCTTGCACCTTGCTGGCCGGCCGCTTCTCTTCTTCGGATATTGTCTTGAACACTCAAGAGAAGTCCCGGCATGAAGAGGATGTTCGGTTCTGAGACCATCGGTGGATACTGAGAATGAGTCGGGCTAGAGGCACGGCCGCCTTCAGCACGATACATAGCTTCGAGGATACGGTTTTGTTATCTCTGTGGAGTGGGAGGCGCCCCGCATCTTACGGGATAGGCAAAGGCCTGCCGCAGACTTCTTGGGACTGTGGACATGCCTTCAACTTTAGATTCTCATACTAATTCAGCAAGCTAGAACTCCACAGAACCCTTGGATTTTAAACGTGTCCAAAGTCCCAAGCGTTTGCGGTGGCGGCGAGCATCAGGGCTCCGAGACCGGATTTAGTTCGGATCTGCCCGGCTTGTCACTGCTCGGTTGGGCTCCTTGCGCTCCAGGGCTATCAGTATCTTTGGGATTTGGGGTGCTGAGGCTTGGCTCCAGGGTTGAAACCTGTAGAGTCTCTGGCCCACAAAAGCAGTACCAAATAAGTTTCATGATTGGGCCTGGAGATGTCTTGGACTGATGCGTCCTTAGTGCTATACTGGTGTCTCGTGGGAGGAGTTATAGTTTTGCTGCTGGAGGCTCCGAAGCCACCCGGCTAGTCGAGGATGCACCGGTGTTTCCCACAAACCTGTCCATCACGCCATTCATCCTATCCCGTTCCCTTAAACCCTTGCATTTAGGGTTTAGGATTGAGGGTAGAACCTACACATACGTCCCTGCAAAGATCTGCTGAAGGCGGCTTTCAGCCAATTGAAGGTTGCGACTCGAAGGTTCGTTGCTTGTTTCGTGTGGAGTGGCTTCAATCTTTGGGGAGCGCCTGTGGCCTTGCTGAGCTTGCATCTGCATGCAAAGCTTGTTTTGCCGAAATCCACGGCTGAGTCTGTGCAATGCATTGACAAGAGCCATGCCAGAATGGGCCCTTTCTGCGCCCTGCCAAGCTCATGTAACCATCAGCTACATTTCCGTAGGGTGGCAACTTCAAACTTGCTGCCATTGCACACCTGTTTTGCCAAAGCAGTGCTGGGGTACCGTCGGTCAAAGATGTTCAGCCAATGTCGGAGCACAGGTCCCTGAGCATCCAGAATGGTCGACATGCCGTTGTTGCGTGGTGCTTGTAAGGCTTTCAATCACATTCAGCCACACAGTCTACTTGATGGAAAGGGTCTTTAGCTCAAGAAATGAGAATCCTAAAGGATCAGTGGCTTTGCACTGTTTAGTCAGCTTTGTCTGCTCGCAGTTCAGGGTTTAGTGCCATCGGCACTCGGAAACTCAGAATCTTTCTGCCCTTCCCACGAAGCTATTTTCCGGGCAGCACAGGGCCGATGTCTGGAAATCTTCCGACCAGCCGTCGAGGAATTCCTCGTGTTTAAACTTGAGCATGTGGTCCGGGAACCAGAGTGGATCAGCCGGGTGCCCCTTCAACACCCCAAAACTGTAATTAATAACAACAAGAGATCCTTCACTCCGTGCATCAAAGACGTTGAGCGTCAAGACTTTCAGGTGCAACGTTTCGGCTGTACACTCTTCTAACAGTGCTCCTGATCGAAACTGCTGCTAGAGTCGTGACCCAATGATGGATCGTGGTGCTAAACGCGGCACCGCGAAGCACTAATCGAGCATCGTGCTGATGTTGAAAATGGTGTGTGAAGCCTGATGCTCGTTCCTGAACACGGGCCCTTCGCTACTTTTGCAGTTGGCAAGACATGACAGAATCCAGCTGCTGCTTGGCTTCCAGCGCCGGTAGCAGAGATGAGCCGATTTGGCAACCACGACTAAAACCCACCATACCCTACCCTGACCCCACCCCAGCTCGGAAGGTTCAAAGCATTAAACAAGCCGTCTCATTTCGTTCACTGCCCGTTATGGCGGCTGCAACGGACGGTAGCCGGCTCGGATCAGCAGCCCTCCTGCGATTTCCACGCCGCAACGGCGAGTCCTTCCGAGCAAGACCGACTTAAATGAGCCTAAGCACGCAGAAGCAACCGAATTCCAAACAGACCCCAGGTGCAGATGGGCCTCTGTGTGTCTTCATCAGCCACGACCCCTTGAGTCTGGATTTGCTGATGAAGAAGGTGCGCAAAGGCTGTTGCTCTGCTGGCTACGATAGCGGTACATTGATCCAGCATGCAAACGGTTCAGCGCAAGGCAAGAACTATGAATGCTTTGTTGGAAATTCGGATGCACTTAATTAAACTTAAAACATGTACATGGCTTCGGCAACATTGTGTCGCATACCGTTGATTTTGTACTTCGTTCGCGGACAGCGTCGCTTGCGGGCATTGCTTGTAGCACATTCCGGACATTTTCGGACATTGTGCCTCAACGTTCTAGCAATCTTGCATGCCGGAACGAGCATTTACCCATGCATCCACCTGTTTCGTCCCAGCTCTACAGGTGTCTGATACCGGCTGCGGGGCCATCACCACGTTCTCAGGCTCCCGGCTTGACTGCAGAGACGGGCGGTTGGCAGCAGGGTGTCAACAAGCAATTTGCCGCTTGCGTCGAGCTTGATGGCGGATCGCCGTTTCTCCGCATGAGTCGAAAATTTGAGGAAGTGAGCTTGGGAGCTGAAAGTCTTGTAGTCACGTCGATGCACAACTGGCGAGGTACCACTAGGGACAACTTCGACGGCAAAGAGGCCATGCAAGCCATACCACTTGGGAGCTTTAATGGTCGAAAAACTTAGAGTGCCATGTCATGTAGTCTGCGAAGGGGCATTGCATCACTTGTCTTACAACGAGTTTTCGCTATGCTACTGGTCATGAGAGCGTGAGTTGAAAATGGCAGATATCTGATTTCAGAGTAGATCGAATGTTTGCATGTGCTTTATGTCTTAAATGTGTGCGTGTGTTTTCAGTTTTCGCTTCGCAGGCACAGTGGATCTCTGGATGGAAGGAACACGAAAAGTACATACTACCATTATACCCAGGCATCTTGCGTAAGCGTAATTTAGCATCTCAAGAGTGACTTGGTTAAGACAAGAAGTGAACTCAGTTAATATGAAAAGACAATCATCCCGCCCAGAGAACAGGAAGCATCAGCCCAAAACGCTCCCTCGTCGGATACAGACGCATACCTGTATTGTCGGTGTAGTAGCCATCCTAGCAGCCACCCCACTAGTCAAGGTGTCAAGGAGAGACTTACCAAGCCAGGCACCCTGCCTGGACTGTAGACTGACACCCATGCATTCCGCGATGGTAGGAAAAGCCCAGCGCCCCACATTAGGTGTTCAGTCATGCAGCATGTCGAGCACTGGAGGATTGGGTAAATTAGTAGAGCCTCCAAAACTCCACTTAATTAGGCATCCACCTGCAACTTCCTGTTGCAGGTCGTCCGTCTCGAATACGAAGCTTACGAGCCGATGGCACTGAAGGCGGCTTCAGCACCCTGAAACGGGCTTCTTCTGCATTCGGGTTCCGCACAGTTGACCGAACAGCCTTCAACTCTACAGCCGAAGACTGGCGAGGAGTTGGAGAAGATCTGCCGTGATGTTCTCGGCGGAGCCTGTGGGAAGGGTGTCAGGCCGATGTGCCTTCGTTGGTGCCGCAGCAGTACGAATTCCATGCTGTGTAGGACTTGGAGTCGAACTTTTGATGGACCCGGACCCAATAGAGTGGAACCTTCGACAGTGTGCGGCGTGAGCATCTGAATGTGCAACTTAATGGAGCGGCTGGCGAGTGTCACGAAAGCCGGATACCCACCTACACCATCCTTCCTGAATCACCAGGAAGGTGGCATGCGCACACCGCCTAGGTGTTCGGGCCTCGGAAGACTCCAGTCATCTCCTTGCACCACCTTGTCTCTGAAGCCCAGCGTAATCCCCCAGGTGGTGCCCCAGGGCGAGGCCTCCGTGCTCATCGCCGTGGCTTCGGAACATCGTCCCGAGGCAGGGTCCCCAGGAAGGCTGCACGTTGCTGTGTACAGCGAGCGATGTGAGGAGAGATGGTCAGATAGTTTGTCCAGGATCTGCACGGCTCTAAATATGTATGCATTCACGTATGCATCTATGTGTGTATGCAAGTATGCAGGCATGTGTGCATGGTGTGTAGATGTATATAATTTGACTTTGAGGTCGCTGCTCGAGTCGTCAAGCTTAGCGAAATCTACCGAGACAGATGTTAAACATCCGGCCATTCTTGATGGCATGCCAAAATAATATGCCTAAATACATAGCTGCGAACATATGCATGTGTGTGTATATATGTGTGCGCACAGAAGTGTTTTATGCAGCTGTGCATGTGAGTGTGCTTAAGACAGACAGGCAGATAGATAGATCCCCTCGGTCACCCTGTAGAGATTCAACCACTCCAATGGAGACCAGAGCATACGCACACGCATGCATACACTAAAAATACTTGTATGAAGATCTGTAGGAAAAGCCCACGGTTACACGTGCAACATAGGAAGCCGTCCAACTGCTTGTATAACCGTTGCACTTTTGGGGGTGACTTCGAAGTTGTGCTTAAAATTGGGCCGAGAAGAGTCGGAGGAAAGCGAGCCGCCGTTTGTAGCTGCTGAGCATTCAATGTCTCGAGGGCTTCGATGCGTGCCGGTACATCATCGACACTCTGAAGGCCTTGATTGTCTTGGTCATCACTTCGTATAGCAATTGTCGTTATGAATTATGATTTCATTCCGTTTGAGCCATCATTTTCTTCGTCATTGTGGCGCTCGTTCTCTTCGTTCTCTTCCGCCCCGCAAGTTGTCGGCGAAGCTGTTGCTAACCCAGGTCAGAGTCCAGTGAGAGTCAGCATGTCTTGCTGGGCGCACAACCGGGAGCCGGCAATGTTGTCAAGTCAGTTCAGTGACTCAACGTGTCAATGAGATCTGACATCTTTCGATTGCAGGCGAAAGTTCCGATCTGGAAGAAGGAGATTTATGCAGACGGGTCGACCTGGAAGGCACTGGGCACTGGGGGTCCGGCCGGTTTGTAAGATGCCGCATCCTATCCAGAGCAGCGAAGGTAAGAACATCATCATAGTGACGTAGTGATGAGACAGGCTTTCGTCACTGAATGCTCACTTCAGTCTCTTCACGATATTGACACGCACGCCCGCACCGTTCCGGAGGCAAACAAAGAGTGGGATCCCAGCCACAGCTAGCTGTGGCTGTGGTCTCCAGACCTGCGCGAGAAAAGCTTCGGTCGGGGCGCAGGGCCAGCTTTGTAAGGCTTTGTAGGTTGGAGACTTTCACGCTGAGAAGTGAGGCTTTACAGAAGAGGTTGGGGTTTCATCTAGCAGTCTAACATGAGGGGTGTGAAGCATGCTGGAAGTACATGCTCTCCTCCTGATCCTCTACACCTAACGGGATCAAACATCGGTCACTACCGCAAGTCTTGAAGCAGGACAAGTTGCTGAGCCCCGGAGTTGTCAAGGATGAGTCATCTCCGGTAGAAGCATGTTGCGCAAGCGGTCATTTGCGTCCTTTGGCTCTTCTGGCTGGTAGGCATCGCCGTGGTATGCGTTATGCAAGCCATCCGATTGATTGTCACATGTACAAGCTGTGCACCGTCGAGATACGTCTTTCGACAGAGATGCCGGACCTCAATGCCCCAAAACATGACACTTTCCTGAAGCACACCATGCAAGCAACCTAAGCTGCGTCTTTGAGACTAAGTGATTGTGCCACAACACGTGGATAATTTGCAATTCTGCAGACAAGACTTGCAGGCAGGGGCGCCGGGTTGGGTCAGGAATACAGAATGCGACTTCCTTGTGCCGATTTGTTCCTTCATGCAAAGAAGAACCCTCGAAGGGATTCGTTCAGACGGATCTGCGTGGGCTCTTGAACTCCTGCAGGCGGAGACCATGCTGCGGCAGAACGAGAACATCAGCCCCAAGGCAGGTATTGTCAGCAGGACGTTGCCTTTCCCCTGCAACGTCTCTACAAGCTACGGTGGGTCACGTTTGGATGTACATGCGTGCCAGGTCTTCAACTTGCTCATCCGTCAGATGACGGCGGCAACCCCAGAGCTTTCTCTGAGTCTCCAGGGTTCCTTATTAGTATCACCATCATCGTTGCTGTGTCCTGCCGTTTGATTCTGTCGCATGCCGGACTCTGCTCTCTCCTGGACACACGGGAGACTGCACCCGGAACCATGCACAAGCTCAGCACTTCCGAAGCCCATCACCACACACCAGAAAGTGAGGGACGGAAGTAGGCACGTCAGCGCCAGCGCTCAACTAGCATGCTTACGCATCCTTTCATGCCAAAGCTTCGAAGCCTTGAGTGGTTTGGTTCATGGGAAGGAACAAGGATACTACATGCCACACTGCAGTGAGATTGGGAAGGTTCCATTCGCCCGCGAAAGTAGGGACGGCAACTGCTATCATGCCCGCTGTAGGCACTCCAGCAAGAGAAGCTGGATGGAGTACAGTTTGTGCCGAACCACGAGGCCATTGCTTTGAGATCTAGTTTGGGCAAAGGGATGCGCAGAGTGTAGCATTTGCGGGGAGGTCGTTACAGGTATCGCACACCGTGCTCCAGCAAGGTCCATGGAACTGCTCTTGCTCATTTTCCCCATGTTTCACCTAACCATTCCTTCACCTGAATCGGGTGGCTTCCGACGACGTCGCTGTTTAGCGCAGGACCCGCTGGACGTGCAGGCCATCGTTGAAGGACCAACGCAGACTCCGTGTGGGTCCCAACTTTGTTTCCCTCAGGCCGGTGCATTCGGAATTCAAAGAACCGCTGAGCTTGAATTGGACTTTTGGCATCTTTTGGCTCTCAAGAACGTCTGCACAGCCGGTTTGGCCCCAGCCTGGCGCACACCCTAGTACACAAGCAGGGGAATCCTAGGAGACCGAGACGTTCCGGCTCCGGGTTGCTCCGGGTCGCTCCAAGGTACGAAGGAGGCACTTACCGCTTGAAGATTGTGATTGGCGCCGAGTTTCCGCAGCAGCCACCACGAGCAGCTGCAGACTCAGTCTGGGTCAGGTCATTCGGAAATGGGCCGTGCGGCCGGCAGCAAGGGGTGGAGAGTTCGGCAGGCAGGAGAGAGATGAGTGATCAGGATGCAGGCATATGATAGGAAGGTGGGCGAGGGCGGTCGGAGCGCAGGTCACATTTGCATTCGCATTTCCGATGCATGTTGGAAATTGACCGGGCGAGAGTGAGCAGGAGCATTCCTGCATGTTTGGCTGCGGTCAAAGCCTGCTGCTAAGGTCTTCTTGACGAAGATCTTTCACCCAAACATTTCTCAAAATGGCGATGTCTGTGTGAACACGCTGAAGAGGCGCACTACCAGATTTGGTCTATGCGTGGCCACTCAGCAGACTGTGATCGCTACATTTCTTTACATAATGCGGTGCACAGGGGCATGTCCGCAACTTGGGGCAAGATGAGAGTCTAGAGGCCCCAGACTGCAAAGCGAATGGTTGTAGCATCACCTGTGGCCAAGCCTGAAGGCAAGCACTTTAGCCCGAAATACTGAGCACAGCAAAGCTCCACTGATCCAGTACCTACTACCAGGAAGCCCGAGTACTCGACAAAACACCACAGCACGCATATAAAGCCTGCACCCTCAGAATCCAGCTCCCGGTCTACCGTGCATCTGGAAGTTAAGTGGGATGAAGTACCTTCCTTGTTTGCAGGGACTGGGACCCACAAAACTGGTCCCTGGCTCATGTGCTGCAGGCTGGATGAGGGCTGGGTTTTCAGGGTCCGGCAAGTGTGGAGCCTCATGCCGAAGAAGCGCTCATGAGCAAAGTTGGCCGTCATGGTCCGTGATGGAAGACTCCATAGGACCAGGACCATGCATCGGTGCAGGGAGATGCTGCGACAGGGTTAAGCGAATCAAAGAACGCCGGTTGCAGGTGATTCGCTGCTTGCTCATCGTACCTTTCCCGGAGTCTGCTCTGAACGAGGAGGCAAGCACGGAGTCCGGGGGGTGGAGAGACTGTGGGTGTAGTTGGGCTTGCGCGAGGTTGCTGTAGCCTGCGTAGACAGCAGGCTCCTGAAGGTTCTCTCTCGCTGCTGGGGTTTGCCGTTCTGAGATGCTCCATGCTGTCGTAAGTTGCAACCTGCTGAGGCCGTACCCTTCGAAATGAGAACAGCTCAAAGCCCTTAGAAGCGCTGGTGACAGAATGACTTTCGCAAGGGAGGCACATTGCAAGGGTGGCCCAAGCCCGTGGTAGCGACTGCAGCTCGACATGGAGGAGTTTGCTAAGTGACATCACCCGGCCCCCAGCAAATGAGTGATTACAGTAGTTACTTGACACTATCCCTTAAGTCTCCTTCTCATAGCTACGTAATTCTTGAGGCCCGCATAATTAAATACCTTTACCATTTTGAGGGTTCCTTATTATAACCACAGTATAATGGGCCCCAAAAACTTTACTCTAATTCTTCAGGCCCCTTTCTTACAGTACCCTTATAGATCCCTTATCGTACCCCCTTTGAAGGAACCCGACTTTTCTTAGCGACCCCCCTTGGGGGACCCGAGACACCCCCCGACCCCGGGGGTCATTTGGACCTTTGAGGCCGGGCGCCTCTTCATGGAAAGCTACCACGAGTACCCCGGCTCCTGGAGATGGGCCTTAAGGAGTAGAGTAGGGTTCCGTCTAAAGGGGTCGATAGGGGCTACTAGCAGGGTACTATAATATAGGGGCCTTATTCTTTATAGGGTTTTGGGGCATTCCTTATGATAGTTATAGTCTCATAGACCATTGAGGCCCTATGAACTCGCTGGGCTTTCTGAGTTTGCAAGGTCGGATTGAAGGACTAGGCACTTGCAGCACGGTCGATCCGGTATGTTCGGTTGTCCGGCTTCCTGTTTTCTCATATCCCATCATGGTGATGGTGACTGACTTCCCCCCACTCCTGAAGCGTTTGCCTTGCCAGGCTCAGGAACGACCCTTGAGCAACTGAACGAGGGGCCTGAGACGCAAAACCAGAGCTTGTGAACCACTGAGCCGCCTCGTAGAGCACCGTGAACTCCTCCGCTGCAGAAGCTCCGACTCCACCCAGAACGCCCCCGAGGTACTACAGCCACGCAGCCGGAGCCCTGTTGACAGAGGGCCCTTGAACTTGCTCAAAGATGACGGATGACGGATGCTAGCTCTGAGCTTCGTTTTTCAGCACCCTGCGTCAGATTTCTTCTTGTCTTGCGGCCCTTGGCAGGCGCTTTGGGACTTCGCAGTGCTAAGGCGTTAAGGCTTCCGGTGGATGGATGACTAGATGATGGTGTTGTGGATTCTTGAGAGGTCTGTATGCTGGCATACATGAATGCGTCCAACAATCGCAACACAGCTCAAAAGACGAACCGGGCTAACTCAGTCGTACCGGCTCACCCTCCAAAATGCTCTCAGCTGAAGCTCTGCGTTTGCTGGCTCGCCGCACAGGCCATGATGAACCGAGTCCATGCAGTGACTGCGGCGGAAACCCCTGCCAACTTGGCCAACACCCCGGAGGCAGGCGACAACTCAGAGGACCAGTGGGATGTAACCGGAGAATGAGACAAAAGCATGCGGCACAGACAAGCAGCTTCTGCCAAGCCGAGACAGGACTAACCTTGCAGAATTGCCGCGAATGAAACACGGACAACAGAAACACAAGCATCTGCCCTGTCTTCAACTAAATTCCTCCAGTTAGAAGTCTACCCAGGCTTTCAGCGTGAGCGACGGCAGTCCAGGGTATGGACATACAAGAGCCTGGGTCAGCTCAAGGCTTAGTTAGCAGTTGACGTCCGTTTAAGAGCCCGCCATCCCAGACTCGCACTAGACTTCTTATCATATCAGTGAGTATATAAACACGTGTGTATATAATATATATATATATATATATGTATATATACTATATATGTATATATCTATTTATTCGGATATCGCCGAAATTTCACATCGCCACATCTCATTGTAGCTTGGTGCTTTTGCAGAGGACCTGGAGCTCGCAAGGAAGAAGGCGATGAAGCAGGTGCCAGCGGTTTTTGGGGGGAGCAAGCGCTGAAGCTGTCGCGGCCACACAGGAAGCTACCATGTCGCCAATCGCCCGAGTAGCTGCGCGAGTCGGATTTGGCTTTCGTCGATAGGCATCAGCAATGAACAGAGACGGTCTTGACTGCTCATTATTGCAATCTGCTCGGCTTACACTCTCCCATGCCCAACACTCAACCTCTGAACCGCACCACATCCTGCAGGGTACAGTTGAATCGAATGCACGCTGTTTGGGAGAGCACACTCTGCCCTCTTGGGGACTTGCCCAGTCCTGTGCTGCTACTACTTGGAGCTGCTTGAGAAATTGGATTGACAGGTGTGTCTTGATAGGTTCGACGAAGACGTTCGAGGGGCGTTAGCTGCTGGAGGGGCTTCATAGCAAGATGCATCGTCTGGACAGGTCCGAGTGTGGAGAGTGGGTTTGAGAGCCGTGAACATGCACAGCTGCCACTGTTTTTGGGCTACAGCTGGCTGAGTAGCGGCCTCCACGCCAACGATATCGAATCATGAGGACAATGCGCTGCCTCGTGTTGCAGGGGGGCATTGCAAAGATGTATGCGGATGGCAGTATGGCATTCTCCTGTGCTTACTCCTACACCTGTTGCAGCAGAGTTGACGTTGACATGTTGCTGCGGCTGTTGGGACATCGTCGGTATAACCTGGAGTCTTGCTCTCCATCGTTTGGGACTTTCAATGTTGCATGAGCCATGGAATTGCTACAATGGAAGGTATATAGTGTTTGGTGCTTGCCCACCCTGAGAAGCTCCCGAAGGTTCAGCCCCAGGCTCCACTGCAGTCGTCTCGGAACCCCCAACAAAAAGCCTGCCGACGTCATGAACCTGGGGTCCCTTTTGCTGCCTGCAGGACTTGAGCATGCTACATGGCTTGCACGTGAGTTTCTGCTGCTTTTCTCAGGCTGTCTCCTGAAGGGTTCGCTCTTCGCCCGCGTTACCTTTGGAATTCTTGCATGCACTCATGCCGTGTTGGCACGTGTCTGTGTCTCGACCGGCCCCTTAATGTAGCCGTTTTTCAGGATCGACTGATGCTTGGTGATTCGGGTGATGGATCTTGCTGGCTTCTCTCAATACGCTCCATCATGATCGTTCGAAGCCCCAGACTGTGAGCTGTTAACTAAATCTTGCTACTTTCCTTCTGTACCTCTTGGTGACAGAGCCCCATTTTCTGCAAAGCCAAGGTGGTCCATCCCTGTTTCACCGAACCGTGTCTGAATTCGCGATGTCGCACCGTGGATCGCCTTGGACTTAGCACAGTTAGTTCCTGGCTGCGAGACGTCACTGCCGGTCACTGACGCTGAGTCTTGAGCCGTCAGCCAACACGTACTCGGAGTCCATTGCGCATCGTGTGCTGGATACTGTTCAAGAACCTACGACTTGCAGGTGACGGCTCAATAGAATTGAAAGACCGACATCTTACTCTGCCTATGTATGGTGCTCGCAGATACTCACGCCTAGCAGGCACAGACCCTGCCACAACAACGCCACCATTTGCTTTTTGTTGGCAAGTCCTGCTCCTGCTCCACCCCAGCAATTAGCAATCGATGCAAGAACCCCGTTGGAGCGGCTGAAATTGCGGTGGCAGGGCTAGATATGTGCAGAAGCTACACATGCTGCATCACTGGGGACATTGCGATTGTGGTAGAGCAGTGCAGTGCATGCAGTGTATTTCCTAAAGGTCGACCCCGCTCATGAGCAGCAGGCGGGGCGAGCTACCGCATTCATTGTCACATGCATGTTGCTCTTGACTTCTTGTCCAAGCCTTGACTTGCAGGTCAACGACGGCCAGATCCAGAGATGTGGTGTCCTTCTTGTTGCAATGTGACCCGACACACATCGAGTTGAGCTGGCAGCCAACTGGGTCGCAGCATCACAGTCTGGGGCCTCAACCGCTCCAATATCAAACGAAAATGTAGGCCAAACGAGCTCTGGGGCACAACATTTGGACTGTGCCGTTGTGAGCCAATAATCGGCTGTTGCCCCTTTCCAGGTAGGACATGACATGTGAGGGTATTAGAGTCTAGACTGCAGCATACGACAAAGCAACATCCTTTGGTGATCTTTGGTGTAAGCGTATATGTATACAACACATCTATACAAGCACATACGCGCACACAAGCATGCATGCATGCAGACAGACAGACGGACCGACGGACGGACAGACAGACAGACAGACACGCACATGTACGCACGCACGCATGCATGCCGTACATTGTCGCGCATTCGTAGACGGGTATGGCTGTGTGTGTCGTGCGGTGGCAGCACACGAGTCTTCATGGCAAAAGATTGGGGCACTGGCACGAGGCCACGACTCGCGCGGTTGCGGCGGCGTGTGCTTGCGGACCTTTGTGCTGCTCGCAACGGCAGGGCTTGGCTCTCAGGGCCATCCGTAGCAATAATGAGAATGGCCATCTTCGTTATCTTCGTTTTCTCATCATCAGTGCTGCAAGGGCTTTCGGATTTACAAGCTTTACTGTAGGATTTGGGCCTTTTGGATCCAGGGTTGTGGGCCACCAGAAACCTGGTTCGCAACAGTCCCAAGAGACCAGACTGCCAGGTCTTTGATTTATTCTGGCTGCGCGTTGGTGTGCGCCCACTCAGATTGGGCCGTTACCAAGCTGGCATCCCGTTTTCCTGCACCATGGGAACGTTTTTGACTAGACCACGGGATTCGACCAGCATGTCGGTTCACGTCCTCTGAACGGGGGCAAGTAGCCAGAGATCCTAATATCCCTTAATCAAGGAATACACTGAATACACCTTAAACCAGAGTATGAAGGCCCCTATAATGTAAAGGTGTATTCCTTGTTTAAGGGATATTAGGATCTCTGAGCAGCCTGTGTTAAAACCTGAAGCTCTCGATTTTTTTGGAGGTACTGCATGCACAACATCCACTTGCGCTTCTGGCTCGGGGACCGCGGTCAAAGGGGCTGTCATGCGAGGGCTTAGTATAGTATATTATAGTAAAATTATTACAGTATAGTACAATAAGTATAGTATAGTATAATTAGTATAGTATAGTAGAATTAGTCTAGTATAGTATAGCACCCCAAAGAGATCACAAACCCCGACCCCCGGCCTCCCAATGGGCTGGAGATGTAGCGCTGATGCGAAAAGAGAGGATGTGGTCATCATCTGCATGGCGCTCTACTTGACTGCGCTGCTGCCTGCGGCAATCATGTAGCTGGGACAGCAGAATGGTCAATTTCACGAGGTAGCAAGGCACGTTACAAGCTTGGGAATCCATCATGGTTTCTTATGAGCTGCGTTGTCGAAGATGAGAACGCAGCGGCAGGTCAGACGCACATGGCTTGCTTGAAGAGTGTTCCCTAAGGCTTGGATACAAGATCTACATCAACGCTCATCGGAGGAGTCAGAAGGAGACTTGTCAGTTCGCGATGCCAGCTAGCAAGTGCATCTAAGTTGTACTGTAACATCTGCACAGAGCAAAAGTCACTCATCAATGTCGAGCCGACATCTCGATTGCTAAGGATCATACAAAGTCGATGATGGGCCGTGGAGGCATCCAAGACGCCCCAGCCTCAGCAAGCCAACTCAAACGGTTTGGGCGGTGTTGTTACAAGGGTCGAGTTGAGTTGGTGTTGTCTCGCAAGGCGTGTTGTCAATTGTGTAGCCCAGCAGCGTGGTTGCCACTCAGCTACTGTAGCAGTGCCTGCTGCAAAGACTAAATCTGGTGAGCAGCTATTGCAAATGAGAACGATGCGACGGCTTTCCCATACTACTTGCCTTCTGTCCTGGGACTGGGGTATCTTCATGTAGCCACTCGAGGGAACAGCCTTAAGCAACGGGAGTGGTGACATCTTGAGGACTTCTCCTGGCGTATCTCAATCAGGACGTCGCTCGACTGCATATTCTCTGGGTCTTTTCGCTGCATTCGCAGGCGATGGTGTGCTAAGCAAGCATCTCGTTTCAGAGGCTGCGCTTCGTTTTCATGCTCATCACCATGCTGTCCACCATTGCGGCCGTTCTGGGCTACATTGTGGTATCTGCGCTGCAACAATGAGGGGTTTTGACCTTGAGCATGACATACGCGAAGAGCCATTTTGCACCATGCGGCCTGGATTTTCGCACAACCAAAGTAACTACACGTGCTTGCTTGTACCTTGCTTCTGGCTCTTGAAACAGCCCACACCATGAGTCTGTCCAGGGCCTCAGGGACCAAGCTATGAACACTTTTCAAGCGGGACATGCACAGTACTTTTCAAGATGGGCTCATGCCGGAATTGAGGTGAGCGCGGGATTGGAGACGTCCTGGCCTCTGCATCTGCGACTTAGGGGAACCGATGCAAGAAACAAATTTGAACGGTGGGAGTGCGTGTTCCCCGGTAGGCCTTTCTGTTCTGTCCAGTTGCCTCGTCTACCATATCTAAACGCGCAAGCTTCATTTCAACACGACCAGCTGTATCGAATTTGTCCTGAGTCCATGAGCTCGAGAGCATCGACCTCGCAACATCCGAGGTCTGGCTCCTTGCTTTTGGAATGTGGAAAGAGCAGCAACGGCAAAGCTCTGGAGTGGCCCTCGCATGCTTCGTCCCGAATGACCCATAGATGACTCCACTCTGCTTTGTCCAGGACCCCTGTTGAAGGCTTCTGGGCTTCCTTTTTCTTCTCAGAAGATGCGGATGACCTGCACGTCAGTTAGCAGCAGTCAATGAAACAACTAGGCATCAGCAGTCTGCCGATAGGTTTAGTTTAGCAGTTCAGCACCTGTGCTCTTATACACCCTTTCGAGATCTTTGCCTTCGCCGCAACCATCAGTCAGTCCTTATTGAATCATGCATGCCATATGTGGTCTACTGCCACAGGTCAAGCAAAGGTTTGTCCGAATCTCACACCCAGAGACATGCGTCCTTTCCGTGTTGCTCTTGTTGTTCGTTTGTCTCTCTCGCTCCGTCAGCGGTCCTCAGGAGTAGTATTGCGCGGCATACCGTGCTTCATACCAATGTTGAGTGGTCCAGCAGTGACTACTGTCAACAAAGCGAGTCTGGCATCGGCGGTTGAAGTTCCTTGAAGCTTTCTTAAAGCAGAGCTACATCAACGGCATTTGATGGGCTCTGTTCTTGGTTCTGGCAGGCAAGTGAATGAGAAGCTGCGCGAGTTCGCCTCTTCGTCTCAGATGCTTGTCTAAAGGTTTGTTACCCCCGCTTCTCGTTTGAATGGCGTACGCCCCGAGCAAAGGCTTGCTAGATTCCGATGCAGTCGTGTCTATATACGCTATAGTGCCCACCGACAATGATCGCCCGAACATGAAGCATTTGAATGCTGGTGCTGCGAGCAAGATGTGATGCTAGCAGCTGCTCGCAGGCCCAATGTCGATCTGTAGAAACATGTCACGGACCGTGCTTGGCGATATGCCTCATGGCATGCCTGCTAGAAGCATAGCCCAAATTCCATCATCCGTCCAGCCCTACAGTCATAGCATGGCATAGACCATGTATGGAGGCTTTCTTAGAAAGAGATCTCCCAGGTTTGCCTTGTATGTCGAGCTCTCCACCCCACAGTATTTCTACAAAGCTCCGCAAGTCTGCAAAGCTCCAGGTGTTCCGACTCTGCACCACTAGACCAATGCCACGGCTTCGCCAAGGCGGACTTTCAGTGTTCATTCTTTAACAGACGGGTTGAAACTTGGGGCAACTTCGGGTCCAAAGCCTTTGTGCCGGCGGTTCGACCCCACCGGTTAACATGAAATGACTGAGATGACTGACGGTGTTCTTGGCGTCTTCTGTTGATTGCGAAAGATAATGCGCGAACCGCTAAAGGCTTGATGGGCAGCCAGACAAGGGTTGATCAGCAGGCCCACTTGGGCGCTTGAGTTGTAGGCTTATGCTCAGGAACTTATTGGCTTTACCTTGCGTCTGCAGCACGCGGAAGTTGCGCATCCGAGCATTTGCTTCTCCATGGCGAGTGAGGCATTTCCGCCTCCGTCCCCTTGGGCCACTTACACCAAGGCTTGGAAGGGCTTCTAGGGCTCGGAGGAGCCAGGACTTCTTCATAGATCGGCCTTAATGATATCCGAAATCGGACATTCGGAAGGGTTGGTGTCATTTGTGCTGAGCCAAAGATATGTGAAGTTAGAAGGCATGTCTCTTGATGCATTGCCCTTCTCTTATTTGCATCGAGCTCTGGATTGCCTCGATTGCCTGAAGCGATCCTCCCAGTCTGCAGCAACAATCCCCTGAACGTGAGGTGCTCGAAATGGAGTTGGCACGGGGACCCAGGGCAGTCATCGAGCAAATTCGCAAGCCATGTGCTGACGTGAGTTAGCATAATTCTGAGACTGGAGCTGAGTGACTGAGTTTGTCTGGCGGGTCATCATGGCTGCTCGCAGGGGTGCGAAGTTTGGATTGGCAAAAAGCGTTCACGCTTTAATCTCTGCTTTGCATAGAGAGCCGAATCCTAGTCCGAGGGGCCAAAGAAAGAAGAAAGAGATCTTTGCTTCAAGGATTGCGGTGGGTGGTGCAAGAAGGAGCCGGCGCTCTTCCGCACAGATACAGAGAAGGGATCGGAGGCCAGGAGTTTAAGATTCGAAGATCTCGAGGTCTGTTGTGCAGAATTCTGGGAGTTCAGTGTCGCTTGCGAACTTCGGCAGGGAGGCTCTGCTATCCCGGCACGGGTGCTCCCCTGCTGGTTGCTGTGAGTGAAATGGTGTATGGGAACAGGTCACAAGTTCGCGGGCGCCCAGTACCCTCGCACGCCGCACTAATCACCGCGAGCAGAATAACAATGCATGCCGGCCTCGGGTGGCCGAGCCTCCTACCTATACTATTTTGGGAGTTCCTTATTATAAGAAATAGTATACTGGGCCCCAAAAACTTATTCAATGATTACGGCCCCTACAGTCTCACGTCCAATCGTTGCCAACATGTTGCAGGCCTGCGCAACGAACCTCGGCCGACATCTGTGGTGGGTGGCTGCCTTTACCGGGGCCTCGTGTCTGGAACAGAGTACGCTGCCAGCTGGGCTCACAGGGCTGCAAAGCTATGGGCACCGATTTCGCGACTTGGGTTAAGGTTCTTGGGTTGAATGTAATTGCTCCGGACCAGGTGAGGATGACGTTGCTGTAGAGATGCCCAAACGGAGAGAAAGGCAACCGTGCATTTGAGTGAACGATCTTAGCTAGTCTTGTTGTCACCGCGAGCAAGCACCAGGTTCATGGTCGGCTCACATTCACGTCAACACGGCCCATCTCCTTCGGCGTGATGGTAGGTTCCAGTGAAAACGGATGAGCCCCTGATCCCGCAGAGTACCCGATGCCTCAAGTCACCATGTTCAGCAGAGAGCTTGACATTGCCGCTAGCCTCAGGTTCCAACAATGGTCAGTGCTTCGATCTTGGCCTTGTTGGGATTTGTGCTTCTTGGCTGCTTCAATCTCAATCAATTCTGCCGACTGCTAGTGGTACTCAACACGACGAGGCCAGCAGCAGCAACATCAACAACTGAAGTGCCATAGTAAATGTCATTGCAAGGATGGTCGCAAGGCTCAGGCAGTGCATTTTGAGAGAGAGGGTCGGTACTTTGAGCTTTCGACCCCCTTCTTTGCAGCATGGTGTCCTTGAATCTGGCTTGAAAGGCAAGGGGGGTAAGGGGTTCGTAAGCCAGGTTTCTGACTAATGCGCATGACCCCAAGTACCTGAGCAGAAGTAGAGCCTGGAGAAGCTGAAGATGATGCCGAGTGCATTAGCCCAACCCAAGACCTTCCATGAGAACCCATGAGATCGGTCAGAGTCTTCAGAGAGAGTCAAGATATCCAACTTAAATGATTCTTAGATTTCCCGAGCTTTCCACCTCTGAAGTCGTCCTGGGGCCTACACCCTAAACCCAAAACCTGCCGCTTGTGGCCGAGCCCTTCGAGACGTAAGGCTCTACAGCTACGACGGGCTTTGACTGGCAAGCTCCAGGAGCCTTTGCGCAATGGAGGGGGTGGCATACGGGTGTGTTCCGAAAAATGGGGCTACCTGATTTCGAGGTGGGTACAATCACGATACAGGCATTTCCGGTTCTATATCGGGTCCCCTGTGTTCTGAGACTACCACACGAAGAGTCTATATCGGGAAACTACTACCTGCTTCAATATCCCGGATAGCCATGCGTAAGCTTACCGTTTGCTTGAATTGGAGCTGCAACCACACTAGTTGTATGTGATCCTGCTTAGTGGCACGGGCCACAGCGTTGGCATCATGCTTTGGCCCGGGTGCCGCTATGATGGCATGGTGTTGGGGTCATGCTCGAAGCTAAGCTTGTACCCGTCGATGCAATCGTGTGTCGCATCTCAGGCATACTGCCTGTACAGGCGTGTGGTGACTTCGTCCTTTACTGCCGGCTCCCTGCGAAGCACGCAGGGCGTTGGTGGCAGAGCGACCGGACGTGCCGACTTCGCCAAAACTCTGAAATCCCTTAGGGCCGCAAGCTTGAGCATCCTCGAGCTTTCTCTGCCGCAGAACCCTTAGCTACGCACTGCTACTGGTCTGAGCACCCTTGTGACCCCTAAGCCGTGCAAAGGAGAGGGCTTAAAGGCCTAACCCAGGCCTTGCTGGCACTGCAGGTGCCGCTCAAAAAGAAAGTTTCGTCCGGGTCAATCCCGGCAGTTTCAGGGATGAGAACTCGTACAAAGACAGCCAACAAAATGCCCACCAACCTCCTTCCTCGTCTTAGCCCGCACCGCATTTTCCAGCTAGGCTGCACATCAAGAGAGAGAGAGAGAGAGAGAGAGAGAGAGAGAGAGAAAGCCGCCGAAGATTGTCAATGGTGCTTGCAACCGATTGCGCACGACTATTGGCTTCCGGACTCAAGGCTAGGCACAGGCTACATACCTGCAGTATCCTGCAGTGCCAGAAGCCTTGGCTGCCGCTTCGACGCACCGTAGATCTTCTGGGCGAGGACATGAGGGCCGTTGCTTCTCTGTCCCGCCTCGAGCTGCAAAGACCTTCTTTCGGGGCGCAGCCCGGAATCTTGTGGCAAAGTGTGGGACATGCTTCATGTTACGACATGGGAAGTGGTGTATGTGCTGGCAAGGCAGACTCGGTGTTTTGTTCGGGCTTCAATATTCAAACTCTAAAGTGTGGCCCACAGTTTCCATTGAATTTCGGTGTGTGGCAAGCCGAAAAGCATCACACAAGATGATGCCGGCTGCTTCCTTCCGAGATGACTACGCTAAGCATGCCGGTTATCAGTGAAATCAGCGAAGGATCGTCAGCAGACCGTTCCGTGTTGAGAGGGCGTAGAATAGGAGAATCTGCAATAAATTTGGTGCTTCAGACTGTGCAAGAAGCGGTTCAGTGCCATTCAATAGTTGCAGTGGCCACTGCATAGGTTGCAGCAGCTGTAATTATGTATCTGCTGCCAGGCGCAGAAAGCCAAGAAGACCTTGAAGAGGCTCGTTGCCGGTTGGTCACAGGGTGACTTCAATCGTGGCAACTTGCGGATAAACGTGTACGCGCACAAGACGATGACCATCTGGTGGCCATTGCTGCCACAGTGATTCCACAGATGGTTAACACAGTGTAGGCTCAAGACTTGAAGCTTCAACCCTGGTCTCACTTGGAGGCTCTGAGTGCTTTAACGACTGCCAGGCCCGGGGTCACTCCTGGCTGGGTGTTGGATCTGGCATTCGGAAGCATAAACGCAAATAAAGGCTGAGGACACCGGGTCGTGGAGCCCTTGCAATCTGGTTTCTGGACCTTGGTCGGATGAGTCCATTGGGGTTCGTTTCTGAAGTCTCCGAGACTTGTGGTCGGAGAGGCTTTCCGACCCCCTTGATTTCCGGCTAAGTTACTTCTCAAATGGACCCGCGATGATCCCATCGTGCAAGGTACAAAGTGAGCTTTGTGACAGGTGCCCCTAAGACGGAGACACGTGATGTCGTAGCTGTGCATAGCCAGAAATGAAGCATGCACCGGGGGCTAGGTTTCACCGTGGTTCGCTGTGGTTGGTAATTATACGAGCATGTTGAACTTTCTCCATGGTTCGGCATTCTTCACGCCGGTTCGGTTCTATGGGAGTGAAGGCAGGCAGGAGTGGAAATCGAGAATTTGGCTGTCGGTGGAGATGTTGCTTTGCAGGAGTTTCATTAGTTCCATCCTTGCTACTGCCTGCTTGAGTCCCTGGCCCACATGTTCCAGATGATAATGTAAAATCTCACTGCCAGACTTGCAGAAATCGTCGTCATCAATTTCTCGGCCATGACATCACGTCTGTTTCAATGACATCCGCCTCTCTTTTTCGAATTCGACAACGTTGCCCATCTCAGCAATTGCGGAGTTGATGGCCCATCGACCTGTTCGTGACACGTTAATACTCAGAAGGCCCTGTACATTTTCTGACCATCGATCCGACACTACCATGGGGGCCCAAGCAATGAGCTGCCGTGTGGCCTTTGACCTCCGTGAAGCTTTGGGGTCAGAAGGTGCTTCCTGTAGTTCCCTGCAGCTGAGGGTCTAGATTCACCCTCACTGGAACAAACATTGAAACATGCACCGAGAGACTTGCCTGGCTTTTTCAAAAGTGTTGACGGTTCATGCAGGCAAGCACCGATTGCTTGGCCACGGCCCATGTGCACCAAAGGTAGGGGCACAGGTGTTGTTCTGCTGCAAGCACAAGCAAGACTGCATTGCTGAAGAGTCCTGGGCCTTGGTGGCACATGGGACCTGCTGATAGAACGAATGAAGTGACACCTTTCCAGGCGCAGAACGACTGCTCAACATCCGCAGTCGCGGTTGCACTACTCGGATTTCTGATAAGATACCGGAACTCTATGAAGCCGTGCTTCTTAGACTTGCTTCCGCAACAGGCCGGATTGCCGCAGGAGTCTGCATCCCATGGGCCTCCTAACTCCAAGGCCCATGCCTGGGAGAGTGTACATACTTGCACTCGCTGGGCCAGGCAGGAAGGATGACTGCATTTCAGCACTTGGGATGTGGAGATGGGTTGGCAACACCGAGATTGGTTCTGGGGTGCTGGACTTGCAAACCGCTCGCGCTGACGTCTCGTCAGGTATGACACAGACACACGTAAGTAAGGATCGTTAAGATGGCGAGCCGAAAGATTTATAAATCCAGCGTCAGCATGCCATTATAACCCTGACACCGCCCGCAAGTGAAAACCCAGGGCTGTGAAGGGCCTACAGGCAATCGTCACAGGCAGTCAACGCTTTGTTTCCGATGGTATCAATACAGGCCTTGCCGTGACCCTGCTGATCATCCGACATGCATGAGCTTTCTACATCGGCATAGCACAACAAGCTAGACTCGCAGCTTCAGTTCGGGCACAGCAGCCTGCAGAATTGCTACATCGTTGACAGGATGTTGTTATTCGTTGAAGTTCCGGGGCGCCCCACGGATGTGTATCATGATTATTGGATCGGGGTGCATATCGACTTTAGCGCCATCAGTTCGGCGACATTCCCCTGCCAAGGCCTCAAGCGATCCTTGCATGGAGAGTCTAACGCTTGAGCTGTTCAGTTCTGTCATCACTCACACGACCTTGCAACCTACTGGTAGCAGTTCTGGCTGACTATGAATGTCGCGTTTGGGCCAGGGATAATGCACAGCCTCTGATTCAGCGCGGCTAGCCGAGTAGATTGGGCGATTGGCCATTCGTTGTCGTTCTGTTACGCGAAGTCATCCGTAGGTAACACCAAGCTTGGAAAGTAGCCGTTCATTGGCAGTGTTCCAACCAACTGGATTGACGGCTGGGTTTGTCACACGTCACTGAATTGGCATTTTCTGATGTCTGTGCCTGACTTAAAATAAAGGATACCAATGGAGGATTTCCGTATCGGGGCCCAGAATTACTGCAGCACCTGCGAACTTGTGCCCCAGGTTCGCATTTGGAACGCTTTATGCTGCCTAGGGCCCATCATGCACCCCCAGAGATGACACGACAGACTTCTGAATGCCAAAGTCTCTGCATCGGCAACGGCATTGAAAGCTTTGTGCTTGGGGACTTGGGCTCTGTTGCTTCGTGACCCGGGATCAGGTGCTAGGAGAGTCGAGGCATCAAGGCTTAGCAGGCCTCACAGGAAAAGAGTATCTGTATGTAGCAGCGATCAATGCGCAGTTGCCGAGAGGGACTTGCCTGGAGCGTCAGATTCCTGTGGGAAACGTACGCTTCCAGCTATGCTGTGCACAACTCCTCTCACGGGATGCCCATCACGCGACTGCAGTTCATTTAACTCGCAGCACAAGCCAGCATCATGCACCGACTAAACTGTGCTGCAATAGTCGGTCTTTTCAAATCTCAGAGCTCTCACAAGTGAGGCAGCAGCGCACAAGGCATCATTTGGCACGCAATCGTCTTCCGAGACGGCTAGTTCCGAAGTTCGGCCTTGTGGTCAGCATGCTTGTTCCAGCGGTCAAGGGTCGCAGCCATGGCAGCTGAATCCCTGATTTATTGAAAGACCTTCGGTGGAAGCATGCGTAGAAGCCAAGTAAGTCGAACACTAGCTCAATTCCGAGAACCACTATGGCCTCGTCAGACCGCTTGGACTATGTTCTGACCGCTATCAAAAGCGTAAGCTTCAAGGCAGTCTTTGCTAATTCATCTTTGCATCATCCGCCGGAGCCTCAGCATCCCACCGTTCTGTGGCCAGGTCCTGGCTGTCGGGACATGGGCTTTGCTTGTCTGCTGCTCCGCTGAAACTGAGTCACTCTTACACAGAAGCGGCGCGCCCCGGCTAAGGTGTGCTGCAGGTTTGCCCTAACAGCGACTCGACAGCAGAAAGAAGCCAGATAATAAAACAGTTCAAATCGCGGCAATGTTGCGAGTAGCAGTAAATCAAGAAGGCGTTTAGTAAAAAGATACTTACTGACTATTCGAATATTATGCAACATATTCCGAAAGGCAATGACATGTATTTTACAACACTTCGTCGATGCGAAAGTACTTCT